TTTATCTGACCTTCAATTCTAAATGATAGCTTTGCTGGGTAGAGCAATCTTAGTTGTAGTTCTGNTTCCATGTTTTTCATCACTTTGAATATTTCTTGCCACTCCCTTCTGGCCTGCAAGGTTTCTGTTGAGAAATCAGCTGACAGTCGTATTGGTGCTCCCTTGTAGGTAACTAATGCTTTTCTCTTGCTGCTTTTAAGATCCTCTCTTTGTCTTTAACCTTTGGCATTTTAGTTATGATGCGTCTTGCTGTGGGTCTCTTTGGGTTCCTCTTGTTTGGGACCCTCTGTGCTTCCTCAACTTGTAAGTCTATTTCTTTTCCCAGGTAGGCGAAATTTTCTGTAATTATTTTTTTCAAATAGGTTTTCAATTTCTTGCTCTCTTTCTTCTCCTTCTGGCACCCCAATAATACGAATGTTGGGCCTCTTGAAGTTGTCCCAGAGGCTCCATATGTTATCTCAATATTTCGGCATTCTTCTTGCTTTTTGTTCTTCTGGTTGGGTGTTGTTTCCTCATGTTCCAAATTGCTGATTTGATTCTCAGCATCCTCTACTCTACTGTTGATTCCCTATAAATTATTCTTCATTTCAGTTTGTGCAGCCTTCATTTCAAATTGCTACTTTATTGTGTTATTGATTTTCTCAGTTATTTCCCTAATAGTCAGCTTAAGCATCCTTATAAATAAAATTCTGAACTCTGTATCTGTTAGCTTGCTTGGATCTATTTCATTTAGTTCCTCTTCTAGAGATTTCTTCTGTTCTTTCCTTTGTGATATGTTTCTTTGCCTCCACATTTTGGCTGCTTCCAGGTGTTTGTTTCTAAGTATTAGCTGCTATGTCTCCTGGAATTTGTAGAGTGGCTTTGTGTAGTAGGTGTCCTGTAGGATCCAGTGGCTCAGCCTCCCCAGTCACCTGAGCTGGGCCTTCTAGGTGCTCCCCTGTGTGGGCTGTGTGCACTGTCCTGTTGTAGTTGAGCCTTGGTTGCTGTTGGTGTCACTGGGAGGAATTGACCCCCAGGCCAATCAGCTGTGAGGACCAGCTGCAACTACAGCCAAAGAGCTGCTGTGCTGGAGATAGCCCTATGGAGCAGAATTTACTTCAGTGGGGCTTTGATGTTCACCAAGTGCGCCCTTGAGTNCCAATAATACGAATGTTGGGCCTCTTGAAGTTGTCCCAGAGGCTCCATATGTTATCTCAATATTTCGGCATTCTTCTTGCTTTTTGTTCTTCTGGTTGGGTGTTGTTTCCTCATGTTCCAAATTGCTGATTTGATTCTCAGCATCCTCTACTCTACTGTTGATTCCCTATAAATTATTCTTCATTTCAGTTTGTGCAGCCTTCATTTCAAATTGCTACTTTATTGTGTTATTGATTTTCTCAGTTATTTCCCTAATAGTCAGCTTAAACATCCTTATAAACAAAATTCTGAACTCTGTATCTGTTAGCTTGCTTGGATCTATTTCATTTAGTTCCTCTTCTAGAGATTTCTTATGTTCTTTCCTTTGTGACATGTTTCTTTGCCTCCACATTTTGGCTGCTTCCAGGTGTTTGTTTCTATGTATTAGGTAGAGCTGCTATGTCTCCTGGAATTTGTAGAGTGGCTTTGTGTAGTAGGTGTCCTGTAGGGTCCAGTGGCTCAGCCTCCCCAGTCACCTGAGCTGGGCCTTCTAGGTGCTCCCCTGTGTGGGCTGTGTGCACTGTCCTGTTGTAGTTGAGCCTTGGTTGCTGTTGGCGTCACTGGGAGGAATTGACCCCCAGGCCAATCAGCTGTGAGGACCAGCTGCAACTACAGCCAAAGAGCTGCTGTGCTGGAGACACCCCTATGGAGCAGGATTTACTTCAGTGGAGCTTTGGTGTTCACCAAGTGCGCCCCTTGAGTGTGTCACTCGTGGATGTGGTAGGGTTGTAATCCAGCGTGGTCGAGTCTGACCACCAGGTGCACTGTCTCTGGGGCCTCCCGGGAGGTGCAAAGTCAGCCTGTGCCAGTGCCTTGCCCAGGGCCACCCAGCATGAGCTACTCAGCAAACCGTAGTTGGCTGCTACTTGTGCTGGGCTTGGAGGTGTCCAGGAGCGGCCAAGCTATGAGCCAATGCAGGCTGCTGCTAGTGCCAGGCCTGGGCCACTTATCAAGCCGTATGGGGCGCGCTGCTGCTTGTTTGAGAGATTTTAGGAAAGTCCTAAGCATGAGGCTCGAGAGGCCACTTGCACAGAAAAGCCACTGGAAATGGCTTGAGCCTCCAGGTAGGGAAGGGTGGGGCCTCCAGGAATCACTGGGGTGGGGCCAAAGGTGTGAGTCAGGTGCTGGAGATTCAAATATCCCACCTGCCTGCCGGCTGTGCATGGGAAGGACTCGCCAAAGGAGCCATGGCCTCTGCCAGCTCTTCTGCCTGGGAGAAAGCTGCCCCTCCAGCTCTCGCCCTGATTTCAGGCAGGTTAGCTCCTCCAAAATTGTCCCAGGTCTTTTCAAGCTGCTGCCTGGCGCTGGGGCTCAGAGGGAGCACATCCGAGTCCGTGAGCGGGCCCTTTAAGAGGAAAGCCTGGGGCTCTCACAGCCTCCATGACCCTCAGCGACAGTCCCTGCTGGTTTTCACAGCCCGAAGCTGTGGGTACTTCTCTTCCTGGCCCTGGAGCCCTGGGCTGGGGGCCTCCTGTGGGGCTGGGACCCCTCACTCCTCTGGGAAACCTCTACCAGGGAGATGTCTCTCCAGGCTTAAACCGCAGCACTGGGTGTGGGCCCACGGCCCTGTCTCCAGGATCCAGCCCCGATCCACCCACGTCTCCCCATTTCCACCCCTCCTACCGGTCTGGGTGCGTCTTCAGTTCCCTGGTTGCAGGGCTTCTGTTCAGCCAGATTTCAGGAGGCTTTGAGTGGTTGTGGGAGGCGGCGGGTGCAGCTGTTACCTACACCATCATCTTGTTTCTCCTCCCTTTTTTCTTAAAATATTTTATTTAAAAAAAACCCCTATATACAAATTCAAAAATCAGATAAAACAGAAGGTTTTTTTGTTTTTTCCAGAAGTTTTATAATAGATAGTAACCTCTCCTATCTGACTCATCTAATTGATTGGTGCTTCTCTTGTCAACTTTTTCCCATCTACCTTCCATCTTTCAGGGATTTGTTGAAATTTCTTATCAAGAGCTCTTGGCTCCTCTTCCGTTCTCTTCCTTGGCATGGGGTGGGGGAACTTACATTTCACTCCTTTATCATGATAATGTTTCTCTCTGGGGATGTGTAGAGAGGGAGGTATATGTTGGATCTTTCTTGACCAAGAAGCGCCTCACCCCAAATTTAGTTCCAAAAATGATTGTTTTCCTTTATTTAAAAAAATATATTGTTACTGTGTTCAGTGCTAGGGAAGTCATGGTACCTATGCCTCTATGGAGCTTAGAGTCTGGAGGGGGAATCTAGATAGTTTCATATAGTGCAGTGGAAAAGGGGGTCTTAGAGGGTGCCGCTAGGATTAAGTGTTTTCCTTCGTTAAGTCAGGTGGTTATAGAACTGGAAATAGAGTAAGTACTCCTGAGTTTATTACTGTGAGCACTCAGAATTCCTTTTCTTTGGCTTCCTCACTGCATAAACTTTCCTCCTATCACTGACACACATTCTGACACAGCTTAATAGCTTGGAAAAAAGCGTTCTTGGTTCTGTAGTTTAACTTTTGCTTGCTGGAGCGCCTATCAGGTTCTGTCCTCCCAGAGCTGGGTTAATAACTGGACCACTTTTTTTTTATGTGTCTGTTTCTTGTGTCCCAGAGCTTATAAAGTTTTGGGGCCCATTTCATACTTGAAGTGTATAATTTATTGTTTTGTTCTGGCTCTTGTTCTGCTTCACCTCTTTAGGTCATTTGGCCTTGAACCCTCCACTGTCATAATATTTAACACTGACCTAATCAGCTGGGAAGATTTCAGATTCAAGACTTGTGCTAAGAATTTGAATACAGCCAGGAGATTCAGAAGCAGGTGTGGCTAAGCAGCTACCCAGTCCTTTGACCAGCAGTTTCTTTGTGGTGATTAAGCAATAGGTCAGCTGAGGATTTTCATATCTCTCATGGGCCTCATACTAAGACCACTGTTTCTGGAACTATTTGGAAATGATGGGATCCCCTTGGTGGTGCTCTCGTCTCGGGAGATATCACTTCTATAGCAATGTTTGTTTCCTAAAAGTGTTCTCAGTGTAGCAAAACAAGCCTCATCAGTGGGGCAATCACTAGAAATAGTTCCCATACAATCTATTAAGCAGGTCTTAGTTGTTAGAGCTATAATTGTGATCACTTCAAAGATGATTTCTCCTGCCCCTAAAGTTTATGCTCTTAACATTAGCTGGAAAATTTCAGTCTAACAAACATCTCAGGTGATTGCAAATAATCCTTAGACCACACCCACAAAGATTCTGGCAAGGAGCATTTGGTATAATCTGAGATTATCCACTTACTTGATGTTAAGAGAAAATGTCTGGTCCTGAATGGTAAGGCAGCAGGGGATAGTTGGAGTAGTAAAGCTGAAGAATCAAACTGACTTGGGTTTAAAATCTTCTGCCTCAGTTGCAGGCTCTGTGACCTTGTCAAGTTAACTTCTCTGAACCTCTGTTTACTCGATTCTAATGTGTGAATAATAATATTTGTCTCTTGGGTTGTTGTGAGGATAAAGTGAAACAGTGTTAGTGATATACATGACTCGTAGTAGGTGATCAGTGGATATTTAAAAAACAACTTCATACCCTAACTTATCTGTAACATAAAAGGTTTAGCTAAGATTATCTCCAAGGTACGTTCTAGCTCTAATAATTCTTGATTCTCTAATTTTTTTTGGTATAAAATTAATAAGATGTATATTTTAAAGATATATATGTGTAGACATATGTAACTGCAGAGTCCTTGGTTGTCATGAATTACTGCCTGCAAAATGTCCTTTGCTGGACATGGGAACTTAGCCAGTGGAGAAGGCGATGTACTAGATACTGTTCTCTTATCTAAGCTTGTTTTATAATTTCAGTCATACCAGATTCTCCTGGGGTTTATGAAGCTGAGTCACCATCCCCACCTCCTCCTGCATCTCCACCTCCTGAACCAGTGCCGGAGACTGAACCAGAGCCTCCTTCTGTCCAGGTACAACTTTACTGGAATGGTTGCCTTTCTGTGTGTTTTTTCACCCAAGGACCTAAAACTATGTTAAATCCATTCTCTGCTGTATACTTCACAAATGCCAGTAGAGGGCTCTTGTCTCATTCTGCTCTCCTATAGGTCTATAGGTCTTCCTTCTCACCTGAAGTGAGATTTGAGCTATAGGTCAAAGTTTCAGGAAGGTTGCAGAGGTGAATCCTGGGAGCTGTTTTGTTTTCCATGACTTCCAGCATCAGGGCTGCTGTGCTACCCAAATCCCGTTGGAATTATACAAAATGAGGTCTTGCCTGCATCAGAGCAAAGTGTGTGAAAGAGAACAAACAACTTGTGCATGTTGGTTACTCTTCTGGAAAAGGGCTGGATGAGAAAAACGGGCAACCAATGGGGAAATGTAGTTTTGAGTGATCTCTAGCTGTACCCTGTCTACATCTATTAGTGTAGATAATAAAGAGTTGAGAAGAGGGTTGCTGACAAGTTTCTTTTTCCTATATAACTATCATTTTTCCTTAATTCATTGTATTAAGGCTCATTTAAATTTTGTATTGATTTCATTAGCTGAAGAGCAAATAGGATTAAAGACCAGTGGGGATAAAAGGAAAGTAATACCAGTCTGAAACTAAATTAGATGGACATATGTTGCAGTGTCAAGGCTAAAATAGCAAGTATCTACAGCAAGAGCAGATGTTGTGGAAACTTCTGGTCTGTTTAGGGGCTTTCCCTGTGTGCTCCCATAATACCCTCCTCTGCCCTGCCTGCCTGCCTGCCAGGTATTATGGGAGCACACAGGGAAAGCCCTTATCAAAATGGTCTGTTTTCCTGTCTGTCTTCTCCACAAAGGTTCTTATCCTGTTGATCTGTTTAACCCACGGTGCCTGCACTCCTTAACAAAAGTATGTTGCTGAATGAACACAAATGTTTGCTCAACATGTTACTTTAGCTTGAGCATCACTTACCTGTGTGGGAGGGCTGGTCCTCTAAAAGGAAATGTGTAGAATCCCTCGTTCAGCTTATCATCATGGAACATTGGAGGCTTATTGTTATAAATTAAAAAGCTTTTTCCCCCCTGTAGTTTTATTGGTCACCTTAATGTTATAACCTCTGATCTTTCTCTGATCTTTTAGAGCTTAAGTGGAGAAAATAAAAGAAAACGAAAGCGTGTGCTGAAATCTAAAACCTATGTGGATGATGAAGGCTGCATAGGTAAGAAAAAATTTTGGCTCCAAATCCAGAGAGAGAGTTATTACCACAGAGAGGCACCATAATCCTTTATAGAGCAGCGTGCCTCAAACTTTAATGTGCATGTGACTTACCCCCAAGTGGTGCCTCGCTCCTTGTCTGTGGCCCACACTTTGAGTAGCACTGTGTAGAGACCACTACAACTAAAGTTAGAACACCTAGTTCTTGATTGGGCCATACACTATACAAATAAGCTTTGAGATCTTGGATGAAGATTGTCACCTCTGGTGGTGAGTTTCTTGATTGATGGAATGGAGGTAAAATTTCCATTTTGCCTACATGTGGGGTTGTTGCGAAGATGCAGGTGAGGAAATATATCTAAAAACACTTTCAAGATGGAAGTCACAATACCAACCTGTTTTCGTAGATGTTGATAAACATTTGTTTTTTTAGAATGGTGGTTTTATACATTTGAATAGTGGAAAAGAAGCTTCTACAGATGATTAGACTGAAGAGAATGTCATGAGTCTTTGGTATTTTGTCCCATTTGTTCTTCAGAGACGTTTGAGTCTTCCAAATCACTTTCTTAATGTCTCCTGTTTGTAAGCCATGTTAGGTAAAAATATGTGCTTTTTATGCAGGCCTAGAGGGGAACAGAATTTAGGCTTTGAAACAACCTAAGTGTCTGTAAGTGAATGAAAGAATAAAGAAGTATGTATATAGAATATTATTCAGTCATAAAAAAACAAATCCTGCCATGTGTAACAACATGGATGGACCTTGAGGGTAATCAGATAGAGAAAAACAAATACTGTATGATCTCTTTCCCATGTGGAACCTAAACAACTCAAAGGGATCGGATTTGTGGTTACCAGAGGCAGGGGGAATAGGAAAAAGGTGGTCTACTTATAAGATAAAAAAGCATTAGGGATATATGTACAGCATGATGCCTGTAGTTAACACTGTTGTATGATATATATCACAGTAATGAGAGTATATCTGAAGAGTTATCTTCACAAGGAAACATTTTTTTTCTTTTGCTTTCTGTATTTATGTGAGATGATGGATGCTACCTACTAACTAAACTTATAGCAGTTATCATTTCACAGTATATTTAAGTCAAACTATTATGCTGTACATCTTAAACTTATACAGTGGTGTACTTTATATCTCAATATAACTGGAAAAGCATATTTAATCTTTTAGAAAAATAATTCAGGCTTTGAGTCATTGGGTTATTCAGCCATGTTTTAGCTTGTTGTACCTTTCCCACAATTGAACCAGACTTCTGTGGGGCATTTAGGATTTGGCCTGGAGGCCTGATGGGATGCTCAGATCCTGGTATTATATTTCTGTATTTGAAAGAGTTGTTGGTTGAGCCTCTAAAACCTCTTGTTAATTGGATTAGCCCATAGTTGTTGTTTCTTCTTTTCTGTGGTACCTGCCACAACATGGCTGTCCTAGAGAAATATTTTTTCTTCTTTCTTGGCTTTCCTTATTTAAATTTTTGTCTTAAAAGTATTGATTGAAGAACCAGTTTTTTCTAGGCATTGAGGTTGTTAAAACTAGTGAAGACATCTTGTCAGTTGTGAGCCTTGTCCCATTACTCCCCACTTCCCACTCCTCTGAAAAGGCCTGACATTTTAATTTAGCATATGATTGGGGAATAAAATTCCTTACATGTGGAAGTTCTGTCTTTTCAGTGTCAAATTTATTGTGAGCCTATGAATTCTGGACTTTGAGTAGTAGTCTGTTTTGAGTCTTCTAATAGTGCATTTTCAAGCCTCTTAGTTTGACTGTTGGTGGTAATATATGTATTTTCTGTTGAATTTCTTATAGTTAATAAGAGGACAAAAACATCAGTGCTAGTTTTTTTCTCCTTCTACCCCAAAAGAAAAATGTCGACTATATCTTTGTGAGAGTTCATTGGGAATGTGGCTAATTACCTATTGTTTTGTTCAAAACACAGTACTCAAGTTTTGGCCAGGTGGGGATGTGGACCTTTTGCAGTCCTGACTCCAGACAGGACTAATAAGAGCCTTGGATGCAGCAGTGAAAACTGTGCTCACATAGCAGTTTTTTGTGTGTGTGTTTTTTTTTTTTTTTTAAAGGTTTTTAGTCCAAGCTCAACCTAATGAATCTTGGCTCCCGTTACCAACAAAAGAGTTCTGCTTTCCTCTCTGCTCAGACTGTTCCAGATATATCAGCACAGAGGTCTTGCCCTGTCCTGTGCTGGATCAGAGTTGGTCTGTGGGTTTAAAAAGCTGATCTTTTCCTTTCTGTGAGTTTGTTGCAGGGGAGTTGGGCCCCTGAGATAAGTTTGTGGTGGACTTCTGAACAAGGTGGATTTCTAAAGCAAAACAGTTGATGGAAAAGAATTCTGATGTTACTCATGTAAACTGGGCCTTTTTAATTATTTTTTTCAAACTGGGACTTTTTAAGTGGCATCCCAGGAAAGTGGCATGTTATTTAGTTAAAATAAAGATCCTGTATTTTTAAGTTGAAATCTCCTTTGTTCTGTAGTTTGAAATAGCTACAGCTTTGAATATAGAAAGTGTTCCTTTTAGCTCGTAAGATATACTAAGTGTGCTGCTTAAGAAACTTTGTTGGTGCTGCCCTGACTGGTTTCTAACAGCCTCCCACCCCCCAAGCAATGCATTGCACAAAACTGGAACTGAGACAACCAGTGATTTCAATAATAAGTAATGAGAGAATGAAGTAATTGATGCTGGAATTTAATATTTTAGACATGCTGCCATTTGAATACAGAGTATAGCTTATGAAGAAGCAAGTCTATATCACCAATTAGTAGTAAGTCGTTTCTTTTCTGTGTCGATAGGTGGCTCTTCAGACTTCCCTCAGACTTTGAGATGCTAATAGCCAGCTCATAATTTTTTTCCAATATTCCAGTTACATGTGCTTTTGAAGTTGCATATAAGGTGGGATCGTAATTGCTGAACTGATATGTGTCTCAAGGAAATTCCCTAAGTATTTTGGAGCAACATTTCTCAAACTTTGCTGAGTATATGCATTACTTGAAGATCTTGCTAAAATTCAGATTCTGATTCAGTAGAACCTGAGTGTCTAGATTTCTAATGAGCTCATGGGAGATTCTAATGCCCTCTGGTCTGTGGAGCAAAGTTGAGTAGGAAGGCCTTTGAGAACACTTAATACGTATTTAAACGCTTATCAGTGTTTTCAGCTTCTCAGTTTGCAAGAGTCAGCAAAGTAAATTCTAGGCTCTTGAAAGTAATGCGGAATCCTGGGAACCCTTAGGGAGGGGACTGTTAGTTATGCAGCCTAATGGCGCTGGAGGGAATAAGGTGAAGGAGCGCTGCAGTGGCAGTAGCCAGTTGACCTTCAGCTGGCCCATTGTGAGGGAGAAATAGCACTGAAGGGTGCTTGCCAGAGATTACTAGGTGTACTTCTACATTCTGTGAGGCAGTGTTATCTCCATTTTATGAAGGCGGGGCGGCGGGGGTGACTCTCAAGGTGAGTTCCCCAGACATGTTAGGAAAGCAAATGCTTCGGTCCACCTCAGACCTAGTGACTGTGAAACTCTGGAAATAGAGCCCAGCAATCTGTTTTAACAAGCCTTCCAAGTGATTCTGGTGCACATTAAAGTTTGAAATTATCTATGTTCTGATACCTAGTCTGACATTTATATATATTTAATTCCAATGCCTATACCTCTAGAACAATTTGACTGATATATGTTATTAGAGAGAAATGATCAATAATTAAGAGCTTAAGACTGGCATTGTTTTTAAATGGGAAAAATACCTTTTACTTCAATCATCTGAGCATTTATTATGCATATTGGGTTATTCTATTCAACTAAGAAAAGATGTTTTTCTTTACTGTTTCTCTATCATTTGCTGCAACCAGGAAGTCTGAGAAAGAATTTAGATGACATTGGTTATACAGCTGCCTCAGCTCTCTGAAGTCACAGGAAGGTGGCATTGTTCTGGTTCTTGTGGTTGGTGTATGCACTGCAGTAATATTGGAGAGACACCGTCATCACTTCTGTAACATCATTGTTGGGAGCCATTGTCTGTGCCCTTTGGTGCTTCCTTATAACGACTGCTCACTAGTAGAATGCTTTTCAAAGTGTTCATTAGGCAGGTTTTAGTGAGTTTTATTGGCAGGGGAAAAAGTAAAATATGTCTTAGGCTGATAGGGAGTAAGGGTATTAGTAACTATGTTTCTCATTGTATCATGGTCCTTCCTTAAAACTACCAAGTTTGTCATCTGATAAAGTTTGCTTGGGACAGTTATATTCATGATGTAGACCACTAGTAAATCTTGGGTTAATTTGCAGTCATTCAAAACTAAGAACCGAACAATTGAGTCACTAATCTCCAATTCTCTGTACTTAGGATGTGCAGAGAGTGAGTGACATCAGGATAGAGCTAGTCAGAGGGTCCATTGCCCTGGCTAGACAGGATTGAAACTGGCAAATAGAGCAGAGATTAAGACCAGGAAAACGAGCAGTGGAAATAGGCAGGCACCGATTAGAGCTCAAGAAATTAACTAGAGCAGAACCCAAATGCCGAATTTGGGCAGTGAAATGATAAAGGCCCATTTAAAGACGTGGGGCACGGCAGTGAGGGAGTAAGGATGAAGGCTGATGCTGAGCCCCAGCTGGAGGCTGCGTGAGCTCAAGATGCCCGGGGCTGGACCCGATCTCCCAGTGGGAGGACACTTCGGTAGATGAGCACACCTTCCTTGATCATAGGGTCTGAGGGGAACTGGGTGAACAAGACATCTCATTCTCGTGATAGAATTGTGATCTAATTGACTTGATCCACTCATGTTCCTTTTTTTTTCCTTATTCTACCAGTGACTGAAAAAGTCTACGAGAGTGAATCCTGCACAGATAGTGAAGAAGAACTTAAGATGAAGACATCTTCTATGCACAGACCCCCAGCAATGACTGTAAAGAAAGAGCCCAAAGAGGAACGAAAGGGCCCCAAGAAAGGGGCTGCTGCCCTGGGCAAAGCCAATAGACAAGTGTCCATTACTGGCTTCTTCCAGAGGAAATGAACTGCCATCTCTGTTAGGTCAGAGGTGTGGAGTGGTCGGGGAGAAGACCAAGACATACAGACTCTCACTTACTGTGTAAGTTCATCCAGCGCCTCACCTCACCTATGTCAGAAGACTGTTCTTCCACCTTGAAAGGTTTATACCACTGGTTTTTAACCAAAAAGAAATCACCTGGGAGCATGAGGCAAAAGAATATTTAAAAAGCTGTTACCTTCTAATGACATTTTTAAAGCACAATCTTTGATGTGTCCAGGAGAAGAATTTACTCCGAAAAAAAACCAAAAAACTTTTGAACGGGTTTCAGAATTATCGCTGGAGCCGTTGAGTGGCTAACCCACGCACCCTGCCTGCCCACAGCGGACCTGCCTATGCCCCGGGGTGCTCTTCCTTGTCCCTTTGTATTCTGTGGGCTTGTGCTGGTCTTTTTTTATCCCTGAATTTCACTGGATGTGTTTACCACTCCCCCTTATCATCCCTTCCCCATTAACACCATTCTGTGTGAAGCCGTTTTCTGTAAGTCTTTCAAATCTTGGTTGGACTAAGGCTGAAACAAAAATCTCCCTGTAATCCTCTTTTCCTCCATTATAAAGAACACTGACGCCCGACCACATACCAGCACATGACTTGTGTTTTACCCCTTTCACAGAAGTTCTCTAGACCTTCACTCGCAATTAGTGGTTAGGGAAAAGTCTCAGGTGGAGCGCAAATAGAAATATAATGATGTATTCACTCCACCAGAAATTACTTCGAGTCAGCATTGACAGTATTAGAGGGCTTGTCATGTTGCTGACACAGGGTGTGCTGTACACTGCTCTTTGTGATTTCTGTCTCCTCCCTTTTCTCCCTTTCCCCTTGTCAGTACCTAGAGAGTAAAACCCATACAATGAAATGAATGCTAAAAAGAGAAATCTTTTCCTACATACATTATGTAACAGTTAAGTAAAATTTCTTCTTAAGGAAACTGAATGTTTAGAAACAACAATTTTCTAAGAAGGTCATGAGGAAAAGATAAAAGCACACATTTACAATACAGATGTTGCGCCTCTGTATTTTTAACCCTTCCATTTGCCTAAAAGTACAGGCTCCCTAGGGAGAAATGGAGAGACTGAGTTGTTAATAGGTCTAAACTGCTATTAAATATGTTCATTTGTTACTTAAGGAAACTCATCTATTCCAGTGATAATTTTTAAGCAACTTCCATTATGGCTGGACAATGAGCTCAATGGATGGAGGTGGTGTGGCAGCAGTCTGCACAGTGAGCTCTGGGGAAAGGAGCACAGGCTTGGCTGCTGGTGTGATTCACTATGAACAGACAAGGGATGTCTGACTTCTTTCCATCTTAGCCTGGTGTATGTCCTGAGTGATACAGTCAGCCATCTACTGTCTAAAGTTAGTATTGTGACGGACTTTGGATTGAGAGCAGCTGCTTGAGCAGCTGTCACCTACGGCTCTCTAGCCAGGCACCCATGGACTTGATTAAGCCCAGAGGTTTGGGGGATGAGTGCTGGCATTACATCTAGGACTTGTAAAGGCAGAGGCTTTGTGTAGCAAGCTGAGTAAAGGTTGACATATTCCAAACCCCTTTCTTTTTTAAATCTAAAAGGATGGAGAAAAATATGGAAAGCCTGGACTTGCACTATTACAAAATTTCTGGAGAGGAATCCCTTTTAAGTGATTATTTTTGTCACTGCCTCTAGTCATTTTTCTAAATTGAAATGAAAAATTAAAGAAAAAAAATCAACTCAGTCTTTTTTTTTTTTTTTTAATTACTATGCTGAGATCTTTAGTAAACTAAATTTTGGATTGGAAACCTCTGGTGCTGGTTGAAAGGAAAATGCAGATTCTGTGATAGTGATCCTGTGGTTGCTATGTCCAATATGCTGCCTAATCTCTGAGTTGTCTGCAGGATTTAGTAAGTGGTGGCTTTTTCCTTCCCTTTTTACACAAAACTCGACCATATTATCCCATGACTTAAATAAATTTGAGAAGTTGTTTTAAAATAGTTCTTCAAACTGAATGTCTGATGAGTCTGTTATTTGACAGGATGGCAACAGTGTGTGCAGTTAAACTGAACAGGAACAAGGCTGGTTTTTAGTTTATATTGTTAAAATTGCATACCCATAGTCTGAGATGGACAAGTTATTTGCTGCCTTCATCATTTTTTCAGCCCTGTGGGAAATCTTAGTTCCAGCCAAACTCATTTTTTAGTTCATTTAGAAGAAAATCTAGTCCTGATCTTGCACATTGTATTAGTTTGGCTTCATTATTTGCTAGCTGTGTGACCTTGGGCAAATTCCTAAGGCTCAGGTTCTTTACCAAAAAAGAGCTAAAAAAGAGTTACCATGGATTGTGAAGACTGAAATAATGTATATATAGCATAAATTTAGTACACAGTGGCAGCACATAGGTGCTGTACAAATGGTATATTTGGCTACCAACTTCCTGAAATTTTATCAAGGATATGACCCCGATGTTACTCTTTCAAAGTCATCCTTCTGCCTATAAGTGTGGTCAAAAGGGGAAGACAATTGTCCCATTTTAGAAAGGTTTTAGAGAGATTAGATATTTTCCTATTGAAAGAAAGTGAGATTTATAGATGGCTACATGTACTATTCATTAAAACATTTAGTGTGTGTCTACTATGTGTCAGGCCTCTGACCTGGGCACTAGAGGATATAATAGAATCTAGTGGAAAAGACAAGCCAGTAAAAGAAAACAATGTCATGGTGAGTGCAACGACAAACATGGTCCTCTGAGAGCTCATAAGAGGGTAGGAGAAGTATGGCTTTTGGGGGGAAATGGACTGTTGAATTTAGGAATAAGGAGGAAAACCTATTGAGAAATGAAGTTGGGGTCCTGCTAAGGAGTCTGGATTTTATTAGAACTATGAGGTCCAAGTGAAGAATTTCAAGAGGAGGAGAGTAACAGAAGTTGATTCTCATTTATGAGTGACAGCTGCGACTGAGGTATGTGGTGGTGGTGGTGGTGGTGTAGGAAGATGCAGAACTCTCACAAGCACACTGAAATGTACACCTATACAAAGAGCAGTTCCTCCTGAGGGACAACTGAAGGCTGATTGAACACCTTCTTCTGCACAACATATGAAGAGACTGAGGGGAGAAGGCTGGGTAAACATGAGAGCTCTCCGTGATTGGGGGAGCTGGTAAGTGCCATTGTTTATGTCCTCCTTCACCTTGGTAGAGCGAGCAGGAGCTCTATGCAGGTGCTCTGGCCTACCTGCAAGATAGCTATAGCACATTCCCAACCACACTGCTGGGAACCCATTTTGGCCTAAACAAAGGGAGCAAGCAGGATCAACAGGATGTCACCACATGCACCTGGCCTCCCTGCCTGGAACTGCTCTAGCTGGGCAAGCCAGCACCCCAGGCACAGTAAGTGTCTGCCTTGCTCCAACCAGTCTGCCATAACTACCTGGCGCACAGATCACACAGGTTGCTTCTACACAAGATCACTTTCTTCACAACAAATGAGAGACCTTAAAGAGAAGACTGGGGAGCTGCAGGAGTTCTCCAGGATCTGCAGGGATTCTCCACTATCCAAAGTGCTGGTGAGCGCCATTGTTTACATTTCCCTCTACTTCCACAGAGTGAGGGAAGCAGTCATGCAGGTACTATGGCCCTGCATGACATAGTGCATTCCCAACCACATCGCCCAGAACCCATTTTGGTCTCTGAACAAAGGGAACAAGCAGGATCAATAGGGCACCAGTCCACCCCACCTGGAGCTACTCCAGTCCAGTAAGGTGATGCGCCAGATGCCGTTGGCAACCACTGGGCTCCAACCAGCCGCCCAAAACTACTGGCATATATAGTCTATACAGAGGTTGCTTCTATACAAGGCCAGTTTTTCAAGACTGGGAAAGATAGCTAATTTATTTGAGTGAGAAATAAACATAGGAAGTCAAACAAAATGACAAGATAGAATATTTCTCAAGTGAAAAAACAAGAAAAATCCCCAGAAAAAAAAATTCCAAAAACCTAGTGAAATAGAAATAAGTAATTTGCCTGATAAAGACTTAAAGGGAATGATCGTAAGGATGCTCACTAAACTTGAGAGTGGAATAGAGAAATTTAGGGATAACTTCAACAAATAATATAATAAAGAACCAAGCAGACCTGAAGAATGCAGTAACTGAAATGAAAAAATACTATAGAAGGAATCAACAGCAGAATAGCTAATCCAGATGAAGGATCAATGACCTGGAAGACAGACTGGTGGAAGTCAACCAATAAAACAGCAAAAAAATACTTTTTTTTTTTTTTTTTCAAAGAATAATAAGGAATCTCTGGGACAACATCATGCACACAAACATTTGCTTTATAGGGATTACAGAAGGAGAAAAAGAAAAAGCAGGAAATTGATTTGAAGAAATAATGGCTGAGACTTTCCTAACCTGGGAAAGGAAACAGACATTCAGGTCCAGGAAACATGGAGAGTTCCAAACAGATGAACCCAAAGACTACACCAAGACATATTGTAATTAAAATAATAAAAGTTAACGACAGACAATCGATTTCTGGTCAAGGTGGTGGAGTAGGTATATGCTGTGCTCATCTCCTCCCATGACTACATCAAAATTGCAACTAAATTACAGAACATCAAAATTGAGAACTACCTGAATACTAGCTGAACAGAATTCCTATAATAAGGTATAAGAAAGAGACCATGTCAAGATTGGCAGGAGGGGCAGAGACGTAAAACAGGCAGGTCCCATACCCACGGTGTGGTGGTTAAGAAACAGGAGGGATATTTCAGCTGTGGAGATTCCTCCAGAGGAGCAATGGGTCCCAGTCTCACAGCTGTCTCCCCAGACCAGGACTCCATGCCAGGAAAAGTACCCAGAAAAGTCACTGTGAAAACGAGTGGGAATTGTGGCTGAGTGAGATAGCTGCTGGAAACCAAGCTGTAATGAGACAAGGGCATTTCATAATGATAAAGAATCAATCAGAGGATAAAACTCTTGTAAACATTTATGCACACAATGTAAGAACACCTAAATATATAAAGTAAATATTGACAGACATAAGGGAAGAGATTGACAGTAATACAGTAATAGGGGACTTTTAACACCCCACAGACATCAATGGCTAGATCTTCCAGACAGAAAATAAGAGAACAGCAGCCTCAAATGACACATTGGACCTACCAGATGGATTTAATTAATAATTTTAGAGGATTTCACACCAAAGCAGCAGAATATATATTCTTTTCAAGTGCACATGGAACATTTTCCAGGATAGACCACGTTAGGACAGCAAAAAAGTCTCAATAAATTTAAGGAGATTGAAATCATATCAAGCATATTTTCTGATCACAATGGTATGAAACTAGAAATCAATTTTTCAGAAAATTGAAAAAAACAAATGTGGAGGCTAAATAACATGCTACTAAACAATGAATGTGTTAACAAGATCAAGGAAGAAATCAAAAGATACCCTGAGACAAATGAAAATGAAAACACAATGACCCAAAATCTATGGGCTATGGCCAGAACAGTTCTAAGAGGGAATTTCATAATACTACAGGCCTACCACAAGAAACAACAACAAAACCTCAAATAACTTTACACTAAAGGAACTAAAAATGGAAGAATAAACAAAGCCCAAAGTGAGTATAAGGAAGGAAATAATACATATCAAAGTGGGAAAAAATGAGTCTAAAAAAACAATAGAAAGGATCAATAAAAACAAGAGCTAGTTCTTTGAAAAGATAAACAAAATTGATAACCCATTAGCCACACTCATGAAGAAAAAAAGAGCAAGCCCAAATAAACTCAGAAATGAAAGAGAAGTGACAATTGACACCACAGAAATACAAAGGATTATAAGAAAATACTATGAACAATGTTATGCCAACAAATGGGACAACCTGGAAGAAATGGATATATTCCTAGATACATACAATCTTCCAAGACTGAATCAGGAAGAAACAGAGAATCTGAAAAGACCAATAACTACGAATGAAATTGAATCAGTAATTTAAAAACTCTCAACAAACAAAAGTCCTGGACCAGATGGCTTCACTGGTAAATTTTACCAAATAATCAAAAAAGACTTAATACCTATTCTTCTTAAACTATTCCAAGCACTTGAAGGGTGCTAAGGCTCCCAAACTCATTTTATGAGGCCAGCATTACCCTGATACCAAAACCAGATCAAGGCATTATGATAAAATTACAGGCCAATATTCTTGATGAACATAGATGCATAAATTCTCAACAAAATATTAGCAAACTGTATTCAACAAAATAGTAAAAGGACTATACACCATGACCAAGTGGAATTTATTCCAGGGACACAGGATGGTTCAACATCTGATGTAAATCAATTGATACATCAAATCAACAAAATCAAGGATAGAAACCATATAATCATCTTAATAGATGCATAAGCAGCATGTGATGTAATTCAACATCCTTTAATGATAAAAACTCTCAAAGTAGTTAGAAGGAACGTACCTCAACAGAATAAAGGCTATGTGTGACAAAGACATAGTTAATATATTCAATGGTGAAAACTGAAAGCTTCTCTAAGATCAGGAACAAGCCAGGGATACCCACTATCACCACTTCTATTCAACATAGTGTTGAATGTACTAGCCACAGCAGTCAGACAATAAATAAATAAATATCATCCAGATTGGAAAGGAAGAAGTAAAACTGTCACTATTTGCAGATGACATGATTCTATATATAGAACAGACTCCACCAATAAATTATTAGAACAAATATATTCAATATAGTAGCAGGATACAAAATCAATTCAGAAATCAGTTGCATTTTTATATATCAACAAACGATCAGATGAAGAAATTAGGAAACAATCCCATTTACTATTGCATCAAAAGGCATAAAATACCTAGGAATAAATTTAACCAAAGAGGTGAAAGGTGCAAGATATTGAAAAAGAAATTGAAGAGGATACATATAGGTGGAAGGATACACCATGTTCATGGATAGGAATGATTAATGTTGTTAAAATGTCCTTACTAC